GAGAAGAGGTCGATATGTGTGACACAGTTAGGCGGAAGGCGTGCGAAATCAATGCAGCAAAGGCGACTTTGGGGTGGGTTGGTCAGATCAGAAAGTAGAGGCATTTCAAGGTCAAGACAGCCGGCTGAACAGTCTATAAGGACCGAGTGAGCGGTTAGAAAATCCATGCCTAGAATTACTTCATGAGGGCAATTTTCTATAACGGTGAAAAGAACAGCAGTGCTTCTATCGGCGATAGTCACACGGGCAGAGCACATGCCAATAATCGCGGCAGTTCCCCCGTCGGCGACTCGAACGGCTCGGTTCAAGGCGGGTGTGATAACTTTCTTTAGGCGGCGACGAAGAGCAGCACTCATTATGGACACATGCGCGCCGGTATCGATCAACGTGCGCACAGGTACATTGTCTAAAGTAACGTTCAACAGATTCCGGGTGGTCGGTAATGTTACACGAGGATTTCTTGCAGAGGTCGTCATCAATGCAGCTTCACCTCCAGAAGCTGCACTGCCTAGTTTTCTAGTCGGGGGCGCTGCGAATAGGTCGGAGAGGCAGGACGGCGTTGTGGGGGCGAACGAGATTGACGGTGAGCAGGGGATGGTGAGCGGGCGTAGCGAGGTCTCGTCAGAGGTGCGGCAGAATCAGAGGATGTGGTCGGCATAGGGGAATCAAAATCAAATGTCGATGACGACTGGCGGACAGAAGTGGCCTGGGTAGGAGGCCCATAGTGTGTCAGTGAAGCCCAGTGATTGCGGCAGTGGCGAGCAATATGACCGACACGTCGGCAGTTCAAGCATATGGGCTTGTCGTCCAGTGTACGCCATTCGGACAAATTGCGCTGTCGAGAGTAGTTGGAACCAAATCGAGGAGTGGAGGGACGACGATAAAACTGCTCGGCAGAGTGGACTGGTTCAATGGGGTGTAGGCCGACGTTCGATAATTCTTGACGAACGACGGCTTGTATCAGTGAGATTGTGGTCAGTGAAGGATCAGGCGTTGGAATCGGAGTAGCTACTGATTGGGCTGCCTCGACCTTGCGACGAATGATGCGGGTGAGGTTGTCACATCGGGGAACTGGGCGGACGGCGTCATCACAAGAGGAAGTAGCAGCTGTGTTCGGCAGGCGCGTGATGCCCTGAGTGACGCGGCGGGCTTTAGCCTGTTCTAGACGGCGGCATTCTGTCAGGATCGTGTCGATGCTCGTGACATTATTAAAAACCAGCAGGTTGAAGGCATCGTCAGCAATCCCTTTGAGGATGTGATTAACTTTTTCTTCTTCTGACATGTGCTGGTCGACCTTGCTACAAAGCGCCAAGACGTCAAGAATGTATGAGACGTACGATTCAGTAGATGTCTGGGCGCGAGTGGCGAGAGTCTTCTTGGCAGCGAGCTGACGACCAGATGAATCGCCGAAAAAATCACGGATCTTCGATTTGAAAAGATCCCAGCTTGTAATTTCGGCTTTGTTGGTTTCGAACCATGTCCGCGGCGTGCCGTCGAGGTAGAACCAACATTGGCGAGCATGAGCGTAGGATCCCAGCGGTGGGTAGCACTGACTCGTTCGTACCGGTGCAGCCAGGAGTCAACGTCGATGGTATCGTCAGCGGAGGAAGTTCCAGGATCCCGCAGGGGTGCAGGGTGACGTAGGTTGTCGACTCGGATCGAGAGATTGGTGGGGATGAGGCACTGGCAGTTAAAGTAGCCGAAGAGTCTTCGGTGTTGCGACCGCTGCGTGTCTCCATCGAGGTACGGGAGTCGTCCATCTCCACCAATAATGTTACGAGTAACTTATTTAATAAATTAAATACGATGCACCGTGCTCGGCGAACAAGGTGGCGACAGTTCATCAACAACCAGCCACCAACATCGTCTTTTTCTTTCTTGCAGCCAGGCTGTACCGGCTGTTGTGTATCAATATCGAAACATTTCACGATCCCCTTCGAGTTTGATATGGAAACGATTTCTGAGGCTTGAAATACTTGAATTTAGGCCTTAAAGTGTGCATATTTGGCATTTCCAATGATCAATATATCGAAACATTTCACGATCCTCTTCGAGTGCCATATATTTGGGATCGACTGTATACTCTTTCTGTAGAAGCAATGCCAGCTCTGTGGATTTGTTTTTATGGAAACTGAATTGTTACTCGATAAGCAGGTCTTTTTTTTTTTTTTTTTTTTTTTTAGGGGCAAAGCTCCTTATAGCGGCACCCGTTCGTCCCTCGTAGCCATTGTAGTGTGTAACAAGTATAACATTTCGACCTCCAAGGTGGTGCCGGTGAGAGATTTCTTCTGTGCGCTGTTGATCAATAAAAAGTAGTGCTCAATGTACATGCCAATGGCTGCTAATGGGGAATGAGAGACAGGAGCATTCGGCTTTTAGTTAACGCGCACACTGCGATCCCCATTAGCAGTCATTGGCATGTACATCGAGCACTGTCTGAGAAGAAAGGGTTGCTACATTATACTCGCTGGGTGTAACCTCTTTAGTTTTAGAAAGGTTTAGCGAGCGTTGAGCCGCAGTGCCATGAATACAATGAACTAGTATATACCATGAACTCGAGGTGGTTAAATGTGGGAAGTAGATACGAAGTGCAAGCCGTAAGAAAGTAAAAGCCGAATTCTCCTGTCTCTCATTTCCCATTAGCAGCCATTGGCATGTACATTGAGCACTATCTGACAGGAAAAGGTTGCTACGTTATACTCGCTGGGCGTAACCTCCTTGGTTTTAGAAAGGTTTAGCGAGGGTTGGGCCGCAGTGCCATGAATACAGTGAACTAGTATATACCATGAACTCGAGGTGGTTGAAGGTGGGAAGTAGACCCGAAGCGCAAGCCGTAAAAAAGCGTGCGTGTGCCACCTCTCGTTTAGTTTTTGGAATGTCCGTTGGATGGCGGTGCTTTTATATGGGGAACATATGATGAAAAGATGAGAGATGGTGGTAATTGGAGTGTTTAATAGATGGACGGACACACAGACAGATGCATGGATGGATGCATGAACGGACGCAGGGACGGAGGCACGAACAGACGCACGCACGGACGGGCGGATGGACGCTTAGACGGTCACACAGACGGACGCATGAACGGACAGCAGCAAAAACGAATGGACGGACAAATGCTTTGCCCCACTCTTCATCATTCACTCCGTGGATATGCTGCCAATTTTTTTTTTCGAGGAATTTTATGATTCTCTTTTGTATTAGCTTCTCGAAGACTTTTGAGCAGATTGGCAATACAGAGATCTGTCTGTATTTTCCAATTCATTACGATAACCTTTTTTTATACAATATTGCTGCTCTTGCAATATGCATTTTACTGGAAAACATGGAAGTATCCAAACAAGGATTGTATATGCAAACAAAAACGGGCACTAGGGTATCTGCAACCCATTTTCACTGGTCGTACCTGGACACCGTCCACGTCGCCGCTACTACTACTACTACTTTTCAAGCTTTTAGGTACGGTTAATATCTCACTTGATGTCGCGGGGTGCAAGAACAGGGAATTCTCAGATTGTTGTTCTAAATAAACAGGTACAGCAGATGATATTTGGGCAATGGCTAAAAAATGATGAGTGGTTTTGCCAGTTTTGCACCAGAATGCTTACTGCCGACTCTTTTAAGTTCAATGTGTCACACTTTTCTCGTAGGTATTCAAGTAGGTATTCAACTTATTTCAAAACGCATCGTGTCTTTCCATTTTAGTTTCTAGAACAGATGCGTAGTGCTCAATTTCTTGCTAATCACAGCTTCTTAGTTAATGTATTTCTGTATTGTTTAAACACATTGAAATCTCCTGGACCACGAAAAGCAATAAAATTCTAATATAACTGGTTTTCCTTATTAATCTCTTTGTGCAACTCTGGCGTTATCCATGGTTTGCATATTTTCCTGTTTTTCTTACACACTTTTATATGAAAGTGCATTTCATTTTCACACATTTGCTTGGATGCTTCAATGAATGAATCATTCATTGAAAAATATGCTTGCCTAAGGCTACTGGCTCTTTGAATTACATCTCAGTTATTTCTTCTTAGTGTTTTACGAGAGGAGGTGAGGGCCAATTCTGTAAGTGACTGATAAAAAAAAATAATTGTAGATGCACACATGCGCTATTTCCCTGAGCTCAAAAATATGTGCAAATGATCACCAGTATCACATGACGATACACCCGAATTCATTCGTGATTGTGAGCGTTGTAATGATTAGATCTAATATAGACTGGGAATGAGTTGTTACACGTGTTGGTTGATTGATGACATTGATGGAACGGTTCGAGTGGATAATGTTTTCAAAGTTCATAGAAGTGATATTGCTATTGCCTATATGAATATGAAATCCACAGCAGATTTCATCTCGCACTTTACATCAGAAATATCTTCTAAAAATCGGTCATAAAAGTCTGGAAATTTTGTGGAATTGTAATTTGGTGGCGGGTAAGAGACACTAAATAATCTATGGTCACTTAGTACGGAAAGTATTTCACGGTGGAGCCTGTGAGCAAAAATGTAATCAAGTATCTGACATTTACTATGCCGATCTGTTAGTGTCGAAACTCTGGCTCTGTGACCTTCTTCTCCATTAAGATCATTGGTTTGATACCCACCATTTTAGAGACGTCATGTTCGCAGTACTCCACGTTTCTGTGAGCATGATGCGAAAGAACTGAAATGAAAATTCACCATAGTATTCTTCGAGGCGGATCATTTGATTTCTTATCGATCTAGTGTTTAAATAAATACATGCCCGTGCACTAGGGCCTAGATCAGACACCACCCTGCTGAGCTCGTTTGGCAAGTAATACACATTTGTTCATAGCCAAGGTGTAGTGCAGGGGAAAGAAGGGGAAGCAAATGACAACTGGGGGTTATTCACATTACCTGAAACACTTGGCCAGATATCACTGTACTAACAGGATGGTGTAAGAAAGGATGAGGCTGTGCTTAGCATGGTATGTTTAGACAGCTTGCTTATAAAATTTTGTTATACTTCTGATGGTGCAGGATTCACAGCCAGAGCCTTGCACGAAACAGTTCTTCCCACCCAGACCAGCGTGCAATCCTGTACGAGGATACAGCCTACAACAAGCGCAAGATCGCCAATCTCCTTCAGGTAGGTCATGTGTCTAGCCTTCATCCATTTCCATGAGCATTTTCAGTGCTTTGATATTTCATGTTTTTAAGTTCAACGAAGCCATTCGAAGTTCTGCATGTAGAAAAGTTAATGCCGAAAGTTCTGTGTTCTATGCATTAAGTAGACCTACCATTTTTACAAGGTTGTGTCAGTGAAGAAGGTTGGACTGTTAGACATAAAAGTTGTTACGTGATTTATTCATGTACAAACGTACTGGGAGGCTGAGGAACGTCAGCAGACTGAGGAACGTTAGCAGGCTAAAATCCAAGCAAGCTTGGGTTGCGCACTTATATCAGCAATGCTGCTGCTTGCCTTTCTGGCTGCTTTGTCGTCTTCTCGCATTGTTTCTTACATTGGCCCCCAGAGAAGAGCGTAGCCATGCTGGTGATTTAAGGCATAGTCACTATAGCGGGGTCATTATACGGCTTCAGGCGACTAACATCTACAATTTCTTGACCACGACGACATAAGTCAACAGACTGTGTCAAAAGTTCAATCTCATAATTGACTGGTGACGCACCGTAGAGAATGCGGTAGAGCCCGTGGTATTGAGCCAGTAATTTCAACAAAAGGCCAGGAGTGCTCGGTGGACATGTTGGTGTCACGAAGAGGGGAAAGCTTACGGGATTAAAGTTCCAGGTTCGTACGGGAGTTCACACACCTCCACCAAATGTCACATGATTTATTCACGTACTGATAAAATGGGAGGCCGAGGAACATCAGCAGGCCGAAATCTAAGCAAGCCCAAACTTGAGTCGCGTGTGTATATCACCAACGTTGTGGCTTGCCTTGCTGGCTGCTTCGACGTCGTCTCACATTGTCCCCTACAAAGTCATTATTAGGCGAACTTGTGTCCAGAAAATAAAAAGTCAAGGTAAAAGTAATACTCACTGCACGCTGATAGCAGTGAGCACAGTTGCAGTCCTGAATAGTCGACCATCAGGGAAACATATTGGCATTTATACATTGATAGGAAATTGTAGGATTATCGCAGAGGCTCATGTTAGTTTGATAACAGTAAAGCACTCCTTCATGGTAACCTTGTTTCATATCTTTTTGTTTTTTGTCACTGCGAAATATGTAGAATGTGATACTGAACATGTCTCCCCTGCGGTAAAGCCTTCGAGGCATCGCAGGTATCCTGTAAATAAATAAATAAATAAACATAAACAAAGACAATATTAAAGTCAGGCTTATATTTGTAATAAACACACAAATTAGGCAAGAAGTACATGTGTTGCCCATTGACCTTTCATTTTTTCATTCACTGGCTCCTTAACTTTCATTCAGAGTCTAAAGCCTCTTTGGAATCAGTGTCATCGCCACATGATTGCCTGTAGGAACCAGCATTGTCATTTTTACAGTCCCAAAGAAGGTCATCTTCCATTCCGCCCAGTGTGTCTGCTATGCCAGTCTTCTTGAAGCTGTTGGTGACCACCTCTTTGGAGATCATGTGCTACTCCATGCTTCATCAATCCAAGAATACGGGACTTCTACACAAAGTCTCCTTTTCTTTTTCCACACTTGGAGTAAAATCGCGGTCATCTGCCGCCACCCACTTTGTGTACAACCCCCGGATGTTGTCTTTGAGAGGCTGTAGCAGGCACTCTAGACACCCCAAGAAAACGGAATTTACATGTACCACTTCTGAAACACGGCATGAACATTGTCGACGAGATAGTCTCGAAAGCTATTGAGCACAAGAAGGAAGCAGAAGCGCTCCTGTTCTTCGTTCCTGTGGGACTGTGCGGCTAGGCAGAGATGAGAGAGTGGAAGCGACACGCATCCCAAACAACTGAACTTTTATTTCTCTGTAGCTCTTGAAGAAAAGTCACATGGTTCCTCCCATGTGTGCCTTTAGCATCACACACAGAAGCGTCGTTTCGTGGCACTACAATACCGCCCCCACACTTCATCAAGTAAATAAGTCAGCAATGAGTGATGCTTCATAAGTTGATTCACAATGCAAGTCTTAGGCGTCGTACACTTCATGTGAACCTCTCGACAAGTGGTTGAGCCGGTTCAGTCTGCTCTGCTGGTCGTATTTGTGGCTATGGAACTTGACAAGATACACGCATTTCATGATTGCTGTCCACGTGTGCTGATTTTATGCGGTCTAATAAGACCACGTCGTGCCAGCCACCTGTGCCGCTCGTCATCTACTTTTCTCCTCATTTCACCACCGTGGGCGGGAGTGAATGCTGTACGGCGTCGTGCCTTACAAACGCATGACAGTAGGAGAAGAGATCACTGTGGACGTGGACAGGTCATGGTGAAAAGAATGCTTCTTCTGGGAGAGTTTGGGATGTGGCGATCTAAGGTGCGTGCGTGATTATTTCACGAGCATTCTGCCATATGGCCACTTCTTTTTCTTTCCCGTGCTTTGGTAACGGCACATGGCGATAGATGGCATTGTGAGAGTGTGCAGCATAGCTGGGAGCGACCTTTTCTCGACCAAAGTGTCAAAGCTCGCCATTGCCAGCTTCGACGTGCTCGCGGTCTTCCCTTTGTCGTGAACGTTCCGCGTGCGGGAGCCTTTGCTTTTCGGGTCCCTTGAGCGGACGTTGTACTGATGTTTGGGGTGCCGCCAAAGACAATAAAGTGTTTGTTTATTACTGTCAATCGAACACTGTCTGTTTTGTCGCGCCGCAATCAACGCTTTGTTAGTTGAGTGCATTCGGAGCGATGCGCTACACTTGAGTAGGTGACGGATACTTGGCCCTGTGGCTTGCTAAGCCTGAACTTGTGGTGATCTTGCGCTATGGTGAGTAGCGAGGTCACCACAGGGTCTATACTAATTTGGGATGATACGAATATTTTGCATGCTCTCTACGAATTTGTATCTTCAATGTTCTCTTGTATAATGTTTATTTCTTCAATTAACCAAGCCACATTTTCTTTTGCCTGGAAACAAGCTAAATGAATTCCAGTTCATAAAAGGTGGAGCATTTCATAAGTGGGTAACTACAGGCCCATCTCTCTTAAAAGTACCTGCTCTGAACTGCTTGAGCATATATTGTGCAAGCATCTCTCTGATTATTTAGACACTCACAATTTATTATCACCTGTGCAACATGGCTTTCGAAGATGATTGTCTACAGTAACGCGGTGTTACATGTGTAGATTAGCCCCGCCGTGGTGGTCTAGTGGCTAAGGTACGCGGCTGCTGACCCGCAGGTCGCGGGATCGAATCCCGGCTGCGGCGGCTGCATTTTCAATGGATGCGGAAATGTTGTAGGCCCGTGTGCTCAGATTAGGGCGCACGTTAAAGAACCCCAGGTGGTCAAAATTTCCGGAGCCATCCACTACGGCGTCTCTCATAATCATATGGTGGTTTTGGGAGGTTAAACCCCACAAATCAATTAAATCAATCTAACGGATGGCTAATCTAACGGATGGCCAGGCGGTACTGACTACCTTGAACAGTAGGCCATCAGGCCCGCTAAGAACATGAGACATGTTGAGCTCTTTGCCCAGAACGAACTGCCTTTATTGTTTCCAAATCCCCCCCACCCCCCTCCACGCTGTGCCAGGCTTGCACAGCTCAACACAACTATCAGCACCGTGTGGGGGCACTGCATTTGAGCCAAAATTGTAACATTCCTCTTCTTCTTAGGAGGAAGACTACGGGGAGTACCTATTTACCGGTTTCCTAGTCCTCGTGCCACGTGGCAACTTCGCCGGGCTAGGCGTAGGCACGACAAAGTCACTGTTCACATGCACACCACTGTTGAGCGCAGTTCTGTCACTCTCTGTGGCACAGCTACTCCCAGAGAAGCTAGTTCCAGGTAGCTGTTCCTGATGAGGCACTTCCGGAACGGCTGGTGCACGGAGAAGCGGCGGCTCAATCTGTGGTGGAGCTGCAGCGATAGCAGTTTCAGGAGAGGCCAATGTTTCTGTCTGCACAAGGCGCAAGTGGTCGCTGTTTCGGTTTCCCAAGGTGCCATATTCAAAACGGACACTGGCTAATGACGGGAGTGACGTCCACAACACTGGCAGGCACCCAGGGTGTACCCCTGCGAAAGTTTTGCGCGTACATGTCATCACCTGGCTGCAGTGATGACGGGACTCTCTCTCAGCATACAACTTCTGCTTGAGTTGTTTTAAGAATACAGATGCCTGCAGGCTTGGCCTGAGGACATCCAACGGAGCCTTGAACATTCTTCCTGTCAAAAGTTCACATGGTGGCCGACCTGTCACTTCATGTGGTGTGGTCCTATAGTGGAACAGAAACCTGGAGATCTGCGTTTGGAAGTTCCCAGAACCAGACTTCTTCAGTATGTTCTTCACACTTTGTACAACTCGTTCAGCTGCAACATTTGAGGCTCATTGATACGGCGGTACAAGCATGCGGCGTATTCTATTTCGTGTTAGAAACTCAAGGTACTGGGCACTGGTGAAGGCAGGACCGTTGTCGGAAACTATGACGTCAGACAGGCCATGCTGGGCGAATGCAATTCTCAATGCGGAAATGGTAGCTTCTGCAGATGTGGAAGACACGGGAAAGACTTCTATCCACTTTGAGAACGCATCCACAATAACCAAGTATGGGTGACCTAGGAATGGTTCCCCAATATCAATGTGAAGCCTTGACTATGGTCGCTGTGGAAAAGGCCACGGCGTCTGCTGAACCGGCTGTGCAGCTCGATGTCGAGTCTGGCACATAGCGCAGCTCTTCACACTGTTGGCAATGTCATTGGCAATGCCTGGCCGCCAAACATAGCTCCTGGCAATCATCTTGCTCTTCTCGATACCCGGGTGGCTGTCATGAAGAACACAAAGAACTTAGGCCTGCAACGACTTTGACATCACTACTCTTGATCCCCAGAGTACGCAACCCTCATGGAGGCTGAGTTCTGCACTTCTGGTATTGAAAGGGTTCCACTCTGGTCCTACTGGGAGGCTTTTTCCTTTCAGAACAGGAAGAACAACATGGCTCAGAACTGGGTCATTTCGTGTGGCTTGGGCCGCAACACCTG